CACACACACACACACACACACACACACACACACACACACACACACACACACGTACACACACGTCTGGTTTTGCTATGACTGCACTGAAAAGAGCAAAAACCAGAGAGATAAACACGCAGTAGACGTGTTGTCGCACTCCTCGGGGATTGAAATACAGGATGTTGCTGAGTTTAATTTACAAAGAAAAGGCCAGAATGAAATAGTGAGACGCATCCATCAGATACAAAACGACACAAAAATATGCTGAAAACGAACGAAACGAGAACTTAGATAACCGGATTGCATATTTTCAAGTAGCATGAATACGAGGATTCGTATCAGTAGCTTCCTCTCCTTTTACCTTTTCGCCCCTGTAGCCGGGTTTCGGTTCACCGTTACTTAGTCAGAAGGATTGTGGTCTTTTCTTGGTTTTACTCAGCCGATGACATTATTTCTCACTCTAAAAAAAACGCTAAAAAACTCCTGTCCCATTCAGTACTCATTTGAGGAACGTACGCTCAGCAGAAGCCCAAAAAACAAACGAAGAACTTAAAGCTCTGCAGAGCAAGTGCGTGTTTCAGGTAAACGGCAGTATTCAAGTCACTGGCAGGTCAACAGAAGTCCGTGGGGCTTAATGACAGAGGCAGCTAATTAAAGACAACACATATACTGTATACACACACTCAGGCTTTTATTTTTTGGGAGGGGGAGGGTACCTCCTGCCTCTTTCCCCCCCAGGTCATGCGCATTTATGCGCACTAAAGTGCAGTGAATCCGCTGCGTCAGAAGAACTTTTAGACGTTTTTTCACTCATAAAAAAAAAGGTCACGGAAGACACACACACACACACACACACACACAGTCTCTGCTCCTTTTATTGAGGTTGTATGCGAGTGTGAGCTTTCATGTTAAAAGTGGGTGTTTAAGTGTGTAAGACTGTGGCATTAGGGGCCATATCCCCCCTGTCTGTGTAATTACACTGTCACTGACACACACACACACACAGACACACACACAGACACAACGATGGCACTGACAGAGATGAAAGGTTGTTGGTCTTGTACTCGTGTGGGTGTGTGTGTGTGAGATAATGACAGGCCAACGTTCAGAGAGGAAGGAGACACAGCTACACTCACAAACACCGTGAGACTTTAAGAGCGGCGACAGGAGACACTCAACACACACATACACACACACACACATCGATATATTTTCTAACAGCAGCTCAGAATCAAGCATTTAATAAAAACAGCCTGTTCTTTCACAATAAAAGTCAGCTTGTTGCTCTTTTTTTTTATTTATAAAAAGATAAAAAACAACTTGTGGACTTACTGATTGTCTGCATCATCAGCTCTCCGGACGGCGGGTAGTGGAGACGTCGGGCGAAGTCGTGGCAGTACCAGACAAGCAGCTCGGCGCCGGCGGGGACGGGCTTCACCGTGTAGAAGTAGATCTCCATGCCATTCTGGCACGCCGCGATGTTCTGCTCGGCCGCTGAGTGGGCTGGGTTCACGTAGCGCATCCAGTTAGAGCGGCTCTCATCTAGACCGTCGACGAAGTGGTGGAACTCCCGGTCCTCGTAGATCTGGAGGAAGAAGAAATATACGTTTTAGATTACATTTTTGGGATTTATTTTTGATTATTATGGTGGATCATTTTTATTATTATTATTATTAAAGTGTTTCTCCTGTTTCTGATCATTCTGATGGGGTAGAAGTTTTAGCCACTACAAGTATCTTTTTTTGATGAGTTTTATGTAAATCATTCTATTTTTTCCCCTTCATTCACTTCCTCCTCACGACACTTCGCCGACAACGTTCAACTAACTAATTACCAACTAACAACAACTAAAGAACGGAGAAAGTAACTCAGAACTCTTCAAATAACCCAGTGACTAAATGTGTTCATTAGTAAGTAGCTGAGAATGCAGATATGTAAATGAGAAGCAAAAACTCACAAAATAAATGTGTAAATAATTAAAGAACTAATTTAATAATCAAGAAAATGTCCGAAAAACTAAAATTTTGACTAAATAACGACAGCAAATAAAAAAGTAACTAGAAAATACAAAGTAGGAGGTAACAAACTGTCCAAATGTCTTATTTATTATTCATCCGTCCCTCTGTCCCTTCCTTCCTCACCATGTCGCTCTCTTCATCTTCGTCTCCCTCAGATGAAAAAACAGACAAGAGTGTCGCGGTGGAGGAGATCCAGTTTTATATTGAAAAGGGAAAGGAAGGACCAACTCATCTTCTACCTCTCCTCCCCCTCTCTCTCTCTCTTTCACTCCCCCTCGATCTCTCGTTTTCTCTCGGCTCAGTTTGTGTGTGTGTGTGTGTGTGTGTG